TATAGATATAGATATAGATATAGATATAGATATAGATATAGATATAGTTATAGATATAGATATAGATTATGTACAGATATCGGCCTGTTACAATTTTACTATTCTAAAAAACTTTCGTTTGATGCCCATATGGTACCATTTAATATAGTATTATTTCATTTATTTTACCAATTTAAATAAATAGAAAATATTTTCCCAACCTCTTTAGTTTGATGCCAATATTGCAATATTTAACTTATGTTATCAATTAAATTGAATAAAAGTTATCAACAGGCAGCCTTCTACAAAAATATTTCTTTTGCCAGACATAATACAATATTTACTTTATCGTATCAATTTACTTAAACTGAAATTTTCAAACAGTTGGCCACTCTCAATTTTTTTTCTTTCTATATTGTATGTTAGACCTCTAGCAATACATCGGTGAAAACTGCAAAGGAGTGATGCGCGTACAAACATATAGACAGATCGACAGACAAACACTAATTCTAAAAAATTTTGATTTGGCTTCTGTTGTTCTTATAAAGACCACTCATATTAATTTTTCTTAAATTTCTAGAATGTACAGACATCGGCCTGTTCCAATTTTATTATAAGCATAGATTTCATTTATTTTATCAATTTAATTCAATAAAAATTTTCAAACAGGTGGCAACCCTCCTCAAAAATATTTTTGGCAGTAAACTTTCCTAAACCTCTTCAGTTTGATCCCCTTCTTCTTCTTCTTCTTCTTCTTCTTCTTCTTCTTTTTTGGCGCTGTAACATCCTAAGCGATTTTGGCCGAGTTCAGCAAAGCACGCCAGTCGTTGCTTTTCTGTGCCAACTGACGCCAATCGGAAACGCCAAGTGAAGCCAAATCCTTCTCCACCTGATCTTTCCATCGCAGTGGGGGGCCTCCCTCTTCCTCTGCTACCACCAGCGGGTTCCGAGTTGAATACTTTCAGAGCTGGATCGTCGGTGTCCATTCGAACGACCTGGCCAAGCCAATGGAGCCGCTGTATTTTAATTCGCTGCATTATGTCCATGTCGTTGTAAAGCTCATACAGCTCATCGTTCCATCGTCTGCGGTACTCGCCGTCGCCAACGTGTAAAGGCCCGTAAATCTTCGGCAAAATCTTTCTCTCGAACACTCCAAGAGCCGTCTCATCGGATTTTGTCATTGTCCATGCTTCTGCGCCATATACCAGCACGGGCATGATGAGTGACTTATAGAGCGTGGCTTTCGTAAGTCGAGAGAGGACTTTACTCCTGAATTGCCTACTCAGTCCAGAGTAGCACTTGTTGGCAAGAATGATTCTACGTTGGATTGCAATGCTGACATTATTATCGCTGTTAATGATGGTTCCCAAGTAAATGAAATTCTTTGCTTTCTC